GTGAAATATACCCCATCGTTATCCATGTCGAGGTCACTGAGAAGAACGTTAGAGGACTCAGGTGAGGAAAGAGCGTGGCATGGATGGATGGAGGGTGTCATGGGAGGAGAGAGAATCCCTGGCCTCTGTTCAGAGACAGAACAAGGATCAGGAGAGAGCACTGGGTGTGTGTGCTGGGCTTGGTGCTGTGAGGAGAGTAATTCCTTTCTGTACATGGTGGCTTTGCCCCCCACCTGTTGATGCCCAGGGTGACATTTGTCCCTGTGTTTTCCGCAGGAGCTTGCTGGGGAAGGCGGGCCAGCGGGACTCGGAGGTGCTGAAGGTGTGCCGTGCTGTGGAGCGGGCTCTCCACACCCTGCCGTGCTCCTGGGCCCCAGTGGAGCCCCACGCCTGGAGCCACGCCGAGGAGCTGCCCAAGCTGGTTCGTGGATGCATCTTCCAGGAGCAAACCCGCCCGCTGTGGATTGAGGAGGGCGATGACTGAGTGGGGGGGTGGCAGGGCGGCTGCTGCCCCTACTGTCCCCAAGAGCTGCTCTCAGAGGTCCCTGCCTTCCCAAGCCCTTCCAGGTAGTGTGTTCTTCCTCCCTGAGGGGATGCTGGCAGCTAAGGCCCCCCAGGGTAGCCTTTCTCATCCCCTTGAGGGACACCAAGAGCAAGGAAGTAACAGATAACAGTGCCTCCTCTGTCTGAGCTTTCTGTATTTCCTTGGAAAGACATCTTCCATCATGGTGGAAACCACCCCTGCGGGCTGTTCCCTGTCACCTTGGGCTGCCCTTGTACGTGGTCAGATTGACAGACAGGGAACGCAGGGGAGCTGTGTGGGATCAGGCTGCGTAGGAGCATTTCTCACATAGATTTCCAGCTCTTGAGCTCTTCTCCTGTCACCTCCATCTCCCCTGCCCAGGGCACTGTGTGCTCTGGGTCCTCTCTCCTCATCTACCTCGCCTCTGGCCCCAGGGCACAGGGAGCATGGCTCATACACCCGTGACCCACTGCGGCTGGAGTGACAATAAGGTTACAACAAACCCTCGTTTTATGGGAGCTGTACTCTTTATTGCTTGTAAATTATTAATGGAGCCTTTCACTGGCAAACCGCCTGTAAAGGAGAATTAAATACCATTCATAATGGGAATGGGTGGCAGGCTGCAGGCTTGTGTGTTACTGGGGAGGTGTGGGTGGTACACGATGGGATATTTTTCTCCTCCTTCGGGTAAGACCCAACTGCCCAGCCCCCCAGGGGAAGGAGGGAGCACTGCCATTGCTCTTGTAGGGCAGCAAGAAGTGTGGGGTGAGGACAGGCTAAGTGTGCCACAGACTAAGTCTCCTCCCTTTTCCACTTGGCCCCTGGTTTTCAGTCCCTTGTTCTCCCTAGCACTAATGTTGGTCAGGGTGCTTTAGGAAAGTCAGGGAAAAACTCACTTGAGTTTTGAATTGTGTCTGGCTGGGGTCCCTAGAGCTTTGCATCCCTCCATGCCCTAGTTAGCATGACGTGACACACCAGCTACCCCACCCTCCTGGGGGGCATCAAGGAGGCTGAGCCCAGCCATGCTGCTAGGAGAAAGGGGGACAGTGCCCCTGCAAGGTGGGCTCCTCACCCTGACATGGGGCCAAGAGTGGGTTCAGACTCTGGCAGGGGGAAGATGGAGGCTTTGGGGAGCCACAGCAGTGCTCACTTAGGCTGCATGATCCTGAATCCTGTTATGCAGCCACCACTAGCAGATGCCATAGGAAAGGGGTGCCAGGATACCCACGCTGTGGAGAGCTGGTGGTTGTGGTGGTAGGTGGTGTTTCCTGAGGCATGCCAGAGGAAAATGAAGTCTGTGGCTCTGGGTGGCTTAGGGCCCGTGGGGCATGAGGTCAGGCAGAGCCTGCTGATGCTGGGGTCAGTGGGAGAAGATGGGCAACCAGCACCAAAGTCAGGTCCTCTCTGTGTCCCCCTTGCCCCTGTGGTTTGGGACTGCTGGTGCCATGCACTTGTGAAGCTCTGAGCAAAGATTAACTTGCAGATCTTCACGAGTCCCCTGTGAGGTGTTATTTCAGGCTCTAAACCAGTTGCCTGTGTCTTTTATGAGGACGAGAGTGAAAGGGGGAGGAAAGAAAATGAACATTTTAACTTGCAGTCACTAAAATGTAGAGCAAAATCCTCGCTCTGCCCTGGAGCCATGCAGCTCTTCTCTCAGGGAAGGGGGTGCTGGCATACACAGGGCTCCAGATGAAAGCTCCCAAGTGGCATCCACTCCAGGGGATGCAGCCTCAGCATCCGAGCACAGCCAGTCCCCTGGGAGGGTGCTTGCCCTGCAGGCAAACAAAGTGGGATTCTTGTTGAGCTGATGAGAAGACAAGTCCCAAAACAAGTTCCCATTCACCCTGTCATGGATTTGGAGATTGGAATTTGCATCTTTGCTGAGGAAAAGCAGCGCTTGAGTATTCAGGGAAAACACTGTGTGAGAGGCACTGTGACTCAGGGTTTAAACTTCCTCATGTCCCTGCTGGCACTGGGAACCAGCCCCAGCCCTATGGCCTGGGCTGAGGGGGGTTAAAGGCAGCCCCTCCACCTTGGGTAGTCAGGCTGTGCTCCCAGCTTAGCACTTGCTGCCCTCCCAAAGAATCACATCCCCCAGCACTTCCCAGCAACCACAGGGAAAGGGAGGCAAAGGGAGGCAGGCTGGCACTGCCCAGCTGGCCAGGCAGCAGCAGCAGCACTGCCTCCCCTGCTCCCAGGCTTCTTCCAGGCTCTCTCTTTATCCAGCTTCTCTCCCCTGAGGCTTTCGAAGTCCAGCTTTAACCTGTTATGGACATGGATGAGAAGTGGAGCAGAGGGCTCCAAGGCAAACATAAATGACCCTCTCTGCCCTGCACACCCCAGCCCATCTTTTTTTACCTCCTAGGGGGTGGCTGCTGCTTGGAGGAATGAGTCACAGGCACATGTCACTTGGAGGTTAGGTAACAGGCACAATGCAATTAGCAGCCCTGGGCACCAATTACAGCTGTAACAGCCTTGTGCAAACCCCTGTAAAGAGTCACTGAGAGCAAGATTTCTCTCTCCAGGGAGGGGATTGTTGAGGTGGCACATGTGTCATCCTGGGAAGTCCACAGTGGACCCCTGCCCCAGCAGAGTTTCCTGGCACTATGGTGTATGAGGTAGCTTTGAGTTGTATTTGCAATGTCTTCTGGAGCCATGAGTACGTGGCCTTGCCTGTGCCCCACCTGTGCCTCCCTAATGATCTCCTAAGCCAGAGCTGGGAGGTGCTGCAGGATGCCTTGGAGCTATAGAAGCTTCCTTTACAGGTGCCTGAGGCTGCTGGCATGTGGCTGGAGCACTCAGGGAGGTTAATTTCTGGTTCAGGAGCATTGGCCAGCCATGTGAGCAATCCCAGTCACACCAGGTTCACATCCCTGCAGTAATGTAAGGCCTGAAGGTGAATGACTCCCCCCGTGCCCCAAATCAGTGTAAGAAAGCATCAGTATTCAAAAGGATCTAAAAATAAAACCTGCAGGGACTCTCCAAAGGGATATGGGAGATGCTCTGGAGATGTTCTTGCTTCAGGGGAAGGCAGGAGTCTTTGAGACTTGGAGAAGTACAGGGGAGGAGGAAAGAGAAGAGGATTCAGTGGTTTCTTCCTTACAAAAGTAAAAAGTTGTAGCCAGGGACATGGGCAGAGCAAAAGTGTGTCTGAGATGTGGAGAAACTGAACACATGGGTTTAGCCCTGCAGGGAGGTCTTCCGTGTGTGCCTGGGAAGTGCCTGTGGCTGGACACACGGTGGGAGTGTGGAACACAGGGATCTGGCAGGCTGCCCTGTCCCTCTGTTCTAAGGTCCCATGATCTGACATGTGCATGGGGCGGGGTGTCCTTTTCCACATGGAGCCATTCCACACCCCCGCCAATTCTCCAGGGCCCCAACTTATTACTTTTTATTTTTATTTTTTTTGGTATGCTGAGATTGGATGCCCACAGCTTGCAGCTCCCTGAGGAGGCGCTCTGATTTTGGCAGCTTATGTAGAGCACTACCATCCTGCTGTCCCCACGCCTGCTGCACAGGGAAGCTGAGGAGGGGGCATGGATATCATCCCCCCTCCCAGGCTGGTTGTCCCTCTGGATGTCTCTGGCTACTCTGTAAAGTAGCCTGCAGGTAGTGTGAAGGGGGCTGCATGGTCACCAACCCCTGTCTAACTGAACCAGCAAAAGCATGCAGCAATCTGTGGTGCTGACCCCAACATTTCCCTTCCATGGTGGTCTCTGTCCTTGTCTCTGTCCTCTGGTATCCCTATCCCTTGCTGGCACCCAGAGGGCTGGAAGTGAAGGTGGCTCAGGGGAGACCAGTGGTGAAGGTGGGGGGTGAGGAAGGAGCTGGGGGTGCCACTGTGCTGCTGTGCCTGCAGGTTGTCCACAGAGAGGTGACATTCCCTTTCCTTTCCCAGGGAAAGGGAACTGACATCTTGGCAGCACAAAAGCCACAAGGGACAAACAGATGAGCTCAGCCCTGCTGCAGGGGGCAAGGCCCTGGGTGGGATATAAACTCAGCAGTTTAAACACTGCACCCCCACCCTGTGCTCCCCCACAAGTGTTCAAGGCCAGGTTTGATGGGGCTCTAAAACAACCTGGTCTAGTGGAAGGTGTCCGTGGCCATGGGTTGGAACTGGATGATCTTTAAGGTTCCTTCCAACCCAAGTCATTCTGTGATTCTGCAGCTGGAAGGGAGGCAGTACGCCCTTCCTCATGCTTTTGGTTGCTGCTGCACCTCTTCCTGTGAGTGTCACTGGTTCTGCAGCCACCTGGGCAGTAGAATGTCCTTGGGTATCCTGGTGGGGGTTGCAGGGCTGGAGGCAGAGGAAAAAGGACCTTCTGGAGCAGAGTCATGGTTTAGGGAGATGGACATCAGAAGTGGGGGTCACACCCAGCTTGAGACTCGGGTGTGGCAGCAGGAGGGCCAGCAGGGAACACACGATCCTGCTTTGGAGGCAAGCTGGGACTAAAAGGCAGGGGCAGCAACTCAGACCTGTATCCACAGGAAAAGTTTGGGGTTGAGGGAATTCGGGGGGGATAAATCGTTCTTCCCAAGAACCACAGAGGACCCCGCACCTTAACTTCACCAGAGCCCACATCAGTGTCACCGTCCCCTCCTCTCTCAAGAGCGCCGGGATGAGCAGGGCTGTCACAGAGGAGCGGGGAGATCAGCCACGCAACAGGTTTGTCACCAGTGACCAACTGTCTCCCAGTTCGTCACCGTGCGGGTGTCCCGGCGCGGGGATGCCCTGGCGAGGCGAGCCCGCTGTCAGACGCGGGCCTTGCCCCGCTCCGTGCTTCCTCCCGGGGCTGGCGCCCCGCCCCGTGCCCGGAGGCGGGACCGGGGCCGGCCGGGCCGGGGCTGCGGCAGGCAGCAGGTGCCGAGCGGCCCCGCCGCCTCTGCCCGAGCCGCTGGCTCGCCTCTGTGCGCTGGTGGCTTCGGATGCCTCCGCTCCGGACTTCCCACTCATGGCTCTGATGTCCTTTGCCGCCCCCTGGACACGCAGCCTGGGATGCTGGCTTTCCTCCTGGCGGGCTGTGCCAGCCACGTGCCGTCGCCTCCGAGTGTTTTCCAGTCGTGTGTCCCTGCCTCGCTGGGTCACTGAGCTCTCCGTAGTCTGAAAATCCCTCCTGCTTCAGCGGGATCCTTCAGCTCTGCCGACTCTTCGGCTTCCTGGTCTTTGTCCACCCTGTTCCTTGGCCACGTCTGTTCAGACCTTGCTCTTGACTACGCTTGTCCCCTTCGAGAGGAGGCTTCGAGAGGAGCAGACAGCGTGGGGCGGCGGTGCGGGCCGGGCCTGTCCTTGCTCCGTGGGATTCGGGCTGCGGCCGGAGCCCTTTGGGAGCCATGGGCCGTCGGCTCGTCCGCGGTGTCTCCGGGGCCGCGGTCTTCCTTGCCAGCGTGGCTCTCCTCTCCATGCGGCACCGTGGGGCTCGGGAAGCAGCTGAGTACCCAGGGATCGGGGAGGGGATGTTGGAGAAGCCAGAGCAACGGAGCGAAGGGAGCCCAGAGGGAGCTGGTGGCAGTGGGGAGAAGGACGTCAGACTCCATCCGCCGCGGGTGTACAGGGCTGAGGGAGGCCTGACGCTTGGGGACATTTTCATAGCTGTGAAGACAACCAAGAGGTTTCACCAGAGCAGGATGGAGCTGCTCCTGGACACGTGGATATCCCAGGCCAGCGAACAGGTGAGTGTGTGGATTCTGACTGGAGAGAAGGTGTTAGGAAAGGGGCAGGCATGGGGATAAAAGCTGGGGGAAGGGGAGGCTGGGCACTGTAGTGCCCCTCAGTACTTTGCCTCATTTTCTCTATTTCTCACTTCACATTCAAAGGGAGATGCTATTCAGCAAAATGTTTCATCAGTAGCTGCTTCCTGGGAAAGGCTGGTGAAGATGCCATACCAGACTGAGTGCACAGACCATCCTGTGTCTGTATGGAATGGTGGCTTTCCATTTCTCCTAGTGCCATGGGTTTGTTGGGTTTGGAGCTGACAGGCTGCCCTGGCCCCTTGTCAGGATGCCTACACTGTGCCTGGGCACCCATTGCCCTGGAAAGGTGCAGTGCAGTGGGCAAAAGAACAAGGCAGGCAGGCTCCTGGAGGATCTCCTGTAGCCCTGCTTACCTCCCAGCATATCAACACAGTCCATACTTCTTGAGCAGATGCCTTCATGTGCCTGATCTTGAAGTGACACAAGTGTATTTTTGACTTTTTCTTTTTTTCTTTTTTTTTTTTTTTTTTAAATTGGGGGCCCGCTGTTTCCATCCTTTGCTGAAACAGTTTGGAGGGTTTCCTTCCTGCTGGAGAAACTGATGTGGAGCACCACGTTGGTGGTGCTGTGCAGGCTGGCTTACTGGTGGGCAGCAGTACTCCCCAGAGCCCCGGTGCTTTTCCCTCCCTCGCAGAGCTGCTCCTCAAGAAAGAAGAAATCCTGTAGCTGCCCTGAAGGGTGTTTTTTTTTTGCCTCTGCCTGTGTGTGATGGGTGCCTATGAGGCAAATCCAGGCCCCAGCGAGGCAGGGGGACGGGGGCGGAGGTGCTGGGTAGGAGAGCGCCTGAAGCAGTGCAGGGTTTTCTGGGTGAGGGTGGTTTTCCACTTCATGGTGCTGCAACTGTCTGGTCTGCTGCGGTCGTCACAGGAAGCCATGTCCTATTTTGAGCACGCTTCCTCTCCTGGCTGCTTGTCCCTCTCAGCGTCTGAGATGCCCTGCTTCCTCCTGCAGATGCACTTCTCCTCTCCAGCCAGCTCCAGCCCAGCAGCTCCTTGGAGAAACCAAACCCAACCACGTGGCTGCACTGGCATTAGGATATTGCTCGTGGGGCCTTCCCAGAGGGTTTTTAAGGAGCAATTCACCTGTCCCTCCTTTGTTTGACATATCAGTGCCTGGCCATTCTGCTGATGACAGGAATTAGGTACTAGCTCCCCAGACTCATCTGATCCCCGCTGGAGTGCAAGTGATGTCCAAACCTTGGAAGAGATGCTGAATTTTCCATGCTGCTGCCAGCCTCTGGAAGTCTACACAGACTCAGCAGAAAAATAGGAAGGAAGGGGTAGACTGGGAGTGTCACTCATTTTTAAACAGAGTTTTTTTTCAGTGTTATCAGTTTTTGTTGCAAGCTCAATATTTTGCTTCCCCCTCCTCAATTTTCTGTGTTTTTCTTCTTTTTTACGAAATGGGTTTGAGGGGAGTGGGAGCAGAAAGGGATGTCAAGAAAAGTACATGAAAGTCAAAAACTTTTTTTTTTTAATATATTCTTGCTCAAGGGTTTTTTTTTTAAGTTTACAGGAAAGGGTTAGTTTTGAAAATTTGACAATATAGAAAACCTTGCATAGCAAAATAAAGACAGCTTTCAATTTGCAAAGGACATTCAGTTGTTGTGGGGACAGGAATAGTGCACCAGACCTCCTATATTGAGTCCTTATGGAGAGACAGGCTTTAGGAATCAGTCCTGGAGAAATGTAGGTCTTGGAAGTCCTGATGTGCAGAGGCTGCCTTCTCCTAGGGCTGATCCAGCATCTTACTGTCTCACCTGCCCTTAATCATGGCCAGAGACCAATTCAGTGAGTGTTTCTCCTCCTGTGGCCAGCAGGGACATTTAACCAGCTGGCTGTGTTGCTGATGCCTAGCCTGGCTTCAGAACTGGATACCTGCATGGTGTCCTCCTGGAGGAAGCAGCCCAGACGTCCCAGGTCAGGCTTAGGTGACCGTAACAGGAGGCAGCAACAGCTGTGGTTTTGATGGCAAGGACTCCCATTCTACCCCTTTCTTCCTATTTTTCTGCTCAGTCTGTGTAGAATTCTAGAGGCTGGCAGCAGCATGGAAAATTTTGATGGTATGGGAGCTGTATTAAAAATCCTCTGTGTTGGACTCTGTTGGGGTAGAAAATAAGAGAGAGATTGTCTCTGAAACTGCTCTGTTTAATCTGAAGACATGCGGTTGGTGAGAGATGGGGAAGTGTGAGACGGGCGCTCTTTGCTGGACCATGCTCTGCCTCGTGAGAACTGATCCATGACAAACTTCCCACTGGAGATGGATGTGAAACCCATTTTAGTGAGAGGCCTTTTCCTCAGCAAAAGCTTAATCTAAATACAAGTGTGGGTTCTGATGATTATTTAGCTGGGCAGAATCTTGGAGTGACTTACACTCCTGGCCCCAGTAGTTTTGATGGAGATAAGTCCAGCTTTCTGGTGTGGTTTGGTAATGTGAACTATTTTTAGCACTTCCCCTCCTTTTAGAAGCCCACACACCCAGCCAATTGGAAGGAAACCTTTGAATGGCCCATCCTGAATTGGCTTTCAGATTTTCAGTGATGTGAATGCACCCCAGATTTTGAATCTGTTGTCTCTGCATGACACCACTGTAATCCTCTAATGTGTTTGCATTTTGGAGAGGGTTTCTTCATAGGGAAATATAGCCTGGGAACTTGGCAATGAACATGGCCCTGGATTGTCAGGTTCCACATCTTTATTCCCTTTTCCTAGTTTTTTATTGCTAGGCTATTTCCCCAGTTTGTGGTGAGGAGGTCTCAAAGTCTAGCTTTTATCCATTGCCTGAGCTCTTCTGTTCATGAAGAGCTGCCAGAAAAAGCTGTTTGACGCAGTGGCTCCATATCACTGCTTGCACGGCTGTCCAGCAGACATCCTTCCCTACACAGACGTCTTCTCCACTCCAGAATGGAGGGATACTTTCTGTGCTTCATCTCTGGCAGCAACTGCTGTGCCAGGTTTCCCACCCTCAGGTGTGTGAGGGATGGTGAGATGAGGATGGAGGCAGCTGCATGTGCTGTTGTGATCTTTTGCACTTGAGCACAGCCAGGTCTACCATGAGATCAGTTTGAAAGTGCCAGAAAAATTGGACTTGCCTGGTTCCCACACTCATATTTCCCTTTTCCCAGTTATTTTAGACAGTCTGGTGTTGCTTGTGGTGACAGTGTACTTTCATCCTTGGGTTCCACAGGAACATGTTGGATGTCTGCAAAAAAACCCCAACATTTCTCATCTTGCATCAAGAGAAAACTGGGAACCTCAGAATATTTTTACAAGCAGAAAATTTGGAAAAGATACATCTTGCTATTTTAAGTCAATCAAATGTGATGTTTGTTAGACACGTGATATCAAGTTGGTTTTATATCTGTAAGCAAGTAATTTCCAGCAACAATATTTCTTGGGATTTTTTTTAAATGTCAGAAAGTTTCAACGGCTTTAGATTTTGCTTTTCTTAAGATGAAAATATTTGCCATAGTGGAAATTTCTGACTCTGACATGCTGGCAAGGAAAATCCCGTGCTGCTGACAATCCCTGCCTTGCCTGAAGGTTGTGATATGGTTCCCTGACCCAGAGCAGTTCCTTTACCTGAGACTTGGCTAATTGCTGCTTGTCACATGATCCCCTTGGAAGTGGTTTTAACTAGAAGACTTCACTGGTGGGGTGGGGTAGGAATGTGTGCCTGCTCCATTGCTGCAGCTCAGCTCTGGCAGGGTAATTCACCGAGCACTGGAGCTCATCCATCTGAGATCAGGAAACCATGCTGCTGTCTGTGCTTCAGCCAGGTGTCTCTGAGGGTCCTTCACTGCCTTATTTTCATGTACACGACATTTCTCCTGCTATGTCCTCTAGATAGGGGTATCTCTCCCAAATGCTGGGTGGGCATGGGGAGACGTAGAGACTCGTGTCTCCCTGCCAGAGCCTTTGGGAGCAGTGATGGCTCCTGGAGCTGCTGTCTGCCTGCCTTGTTCCCTTTGTGCCTGCGCAGGTGCTGTGTTTAACCAGCCTGTGGGCAGCTGGTGGGGAGACTGTTTATGGCTCGCGACTTCTTTTTCATTTCATGAAAGCTCATTTTCTGCCTGAGGAAAGCTTTTCTCCACCAGCCCTGATCCTTGCCTGGCTCTGAAGAGGGGGAGATGTGCCACATAATGGCAGCAAGGGGGATTAGAGAAGCCTGGGAGTGGAGGAAGAGGAGGAGGAGGGGGCAGAAAGTGGCGGGGGGCTGTGCACACTTCACACACAAGCAGATGTTCTTTTACCCCAAGCATCATTTAACCACAATGCTTTAATTTTTCTACCACTGACACCTAATCCGGGGCTACCTCGCCCCCTCGCTCAGTGTCATAGGTCCCCTGTTCCCAAGGCAGTGTTATGGGGGTGAAGATAAAGCCACACAAGTACTGATGATTGTGCCCTGCAGGAAGGGGGAGCACAGCCATCCTTCTGTTCATCTGCTGCCTGGGAGTGGGTACAGCAGCAGAGGATGGAGTGGGGTAACCATGTCAAGTGTGTTTCAGCTGTGGGAGGAAGAAGTGAGCAGCCAGGAATATCACCAGCTCTACCCTGAGAGTAATGTCTTTTCCTTGTTTCCCCAGACCTACGTCTTCACTGATGAAGAAGATGGTACCTTGAAAAAGAGAATGGGTAATGACCTATCCTATGACACCACCTTCAACCCCTACTCTACCTTCAGCCCCTGAACTGTCCTGGCCTTGAGAGGGGGTCTGGTGTGAGGGCTGGCTGTCCTGCACCAGCACTGCCCATTGAAACACACCCCTTGTGTGTCCTGTGGTGGTGATGATTTGGTGCAGTTGGCTTACCCCAGGGCATGCAGGGTGCTGTCTGCTTTAAAGCATCCATGGGTAGAAGCAGCACATGACAGAGCCCCTCAATCTCTGCATCATGGTTGGCAGTGGGCAGGGTGGAAATGTGGATGGCAGGCGTCCTAGTCTTGGCCAAGTTGCTTGGCTCTGTCCATGTTTCATCTCATGGTAGGAGGAGGAGCGTAACCCATGTCTCCATGGGCTTGGGTGCCTTCTGGGGAGCTATGAGGAGACTGTCTGTGAACAAACCCCTTCCCTGCTGCCCAGATGTCCTCCCTGTGACCATGCAAAGTGGGCTGGCTCTGAGCTTTCCCTCCTCTGGCAGGTGGCCATGTGATCTTCACCAACTGCTCTGCCGAGCACAGCCACCTGGCCCTGTCCTGCAAGATGGCTGCAGAGTTCGACGCCTTCCTGGCCAGCGGCCTGAGGTGAGGCAGGGCTGCCGTGGGGGGACCCCCGAGAGCAAGAGGCACCCTCCTTACTGCAAGCTTCTTGTGTCTTCCTGTCTGCCCCAGCTGGTTTTGCCACTTGGATGATGATAACTACCTGAACCCTCGGGCGCTCCTGAAGCTCTTGTCCTCCTACGCGGAGACGTGGGATGTTTACCTGGGCAAACCCAGCCTGAACCGACCCATCTGGGCCTCGGAAACACTGCCAAACAACCAGACGGTACAGCCTGTGGTGGTGGGGTGGGGGCAGTGGGTTGTTTTGGTGCTCTGGCTCACATTTGTCTGGTTTAACCCCAGCCAGCAGCCAAGCCTCATGCAGCTGCTCACTCAGTCTTCCACCAGAGTGAGTGGGGAAAGAATCGAAAGGGCAAAAGGTAGAAAACTCGTGGGTTGAGATAAAGAAAGGGAAAGCAAAAGCCATGTACGCAAGCAAAGTGAAACAAGGAATTAAATCACTGCTTCCCACGGGCAGGCAGGTGTTCAGCCACCTCCAGGAGAGCAGGGCCCCATTACGTGTAATGGTGACTTGGGAGGACAAACACCATCACTCAAAATGTCCCACCCCTTCCTTCTTCTTCCCACACTTTATATACTAAGCATGGTGTCATATGGTCTGGAAAATCCCTTTGGTCGGTTGGGGTCACCAGTCCTGGCAGTGTTTCTTCACAATCTCCCTTGCACCCCCAGTTTCCTCACAAGTGTGGCAGTAGGAAAGAAAGAAAGGCCTTGGCTGTTGTGTAAATCCTGCTTAGCAATAACAAAAACATCTCTGTATTGTCAAGCTGTATTCAGCACAAATCCAAAACACAGCCCACACTAGCCACTGTGAAAAAAGTTAACTCTACTCCAGCCAAAACCAGCACAGTATTGCAAGGACAGACAGGTCCCAAAAGGAATGGCAACAGCTGAAAACTTGCCATCTTGTCTAAACATGGCTGTAGTTGTTGACTAAATTTGATCATCCAAGGGGCAGAGTCCCACGTTGCTGCTCTCCTTTGGGTACATGTCTGACAGGACAAAAGCCTGCCCTAGGCACCCCCCCTGTTGTTGCCAGCAGGAGCAACTGGCTGTTCCAGTTATGAGGAAGTGAAAATCCATGCTGTACTGCTAGCAATCCCTTCCTCTGGGCAGCAGTCAGGGGGCTGGGGTGACAAGAAGGCTGTGTTTGTCCTGACATCAAAGCCGGGTTTTCAGCATTCCCAGCTCTGGGAGCATGGTATTGTCTGAGCCTCTGCCATTGATTTTCTCTGGTTCTCTCCAGAAATCCGTGCGCTTCTGGTTTGCCACGGGAGGGGCTGGCTTCTGCATCAGCCGCAAGCTGGCAAGGAAGATGGTGCCCTGGGCCAGGTGAGCTGGGGAGTGTGGGAGCCTTTGGGGATGAGCAACATGGCTGCCCATTAATTCCTGGCAGTGTCAGACCTGGATTTGTGCATGTAGCGTTTGCAGAGGTGCAGAGTGCCACGTGCTGCACGTCTGCAAGGTGTGAGACTGCAGGAAGGATGTAGTGGGTGGGTCTGCCAACTGACTGAAAACTGGCAAGAGCAGGCACATCAATAAACATGGTCACAGGATGATGCACTCCTCTCTCCCCTCTCCTTAAGTCTCTTGGTTACTCCCCACACTCCTTCCCATCCCTTTCAGCTTCCTCTGACTCTTTTCTCATCTGCCTATCTCACCTCCCCTTCAGCCTCTTTCCAGCTTTCCGTACCTCCCTCCTGAGCTAATTTTCTGTTCCCTCACCCCAAACTGTTTTGGATTCTCAGGTGTCCACTGTCATTTCCTTAGCTTGATGCTTGGAGGACAGAGGTAGGTCCCAAAGTCGTGTTATCCCAGCCTAGAACAAGATGATGCCCTAGGTTATACCACAGGCATGTACACTGGTGGGCATTGGCTGTGCCTTAACCAGCCTTAACCAGATCTGAGCATTCCCAGAAGGACAAACCTGATCCACACCAGGTGGCTGCTTTAGTGAAATCCCATTATAAGTGTTTTATGGTAGACCCAGTCAAAAGGATGATCTGTGATCTAGGGTAAAGTCAAAGTGGCACAGATGGACTATGCCTAACCTGACATAAAGTCTGCCACTACTGTTTTTAAAGTGCTTAAAACACATTTCAGCTTTCTGGGGGTTGTTGTAGTGGACAGCACTTCATACTGCGTAAATAATTCCAATTCCAGAAGCCTTAAAATTTGGTTTAGACTGTCATCAGAAAATGGCCAAGTATGTGGTGTTACATTGCAGTAGATGGCTTATTCAAGCTGCATGTCCTGTTTTTACTTCTCCTTACACCTGCCATGTGCTCCCACTGTTTCTCTTGTGGTGGCTTGTCTGACCCCTCAGGGATGTCCCCAGACCCCTCAGTGGACTTCACCAAACATGTGGAGAAGTGACTCAGAATGGTCTGTCAGCTCTCTGCATCAGCTTCCCAAGGACCTGGATTATGTATCAGGGTCAGCGTGGCTGGGAATGGTGAAAGAGCAAGCCTGTTCCTGAGTACGTGCAGGCAGAACTCAGGGGTTTCTTGCCTAGTTACAGAATTTACTCTGGTTTTCAGTAATCTCCCACCCAAGTGGATGCCTATATATGCCCCTACCCTGTTCCTAACCCACGCAGCCCTACTCTCTTCCAGTGGCAGGAACTTCCTGAGCACGTCCGAGCTCATCCGCCTGCCAGATGACTGCACCGTGGGTTACATCATCGAGTGCAAAGTCGGTAGGCAGCTGATTCCCAATGCACTCTTCCACTCCCACCTGGAGAACCTGCAGCTCATCCCCACCTCTCAGCTCCTGCAGCAGGTGAGGAGGGGAGAGGAAGCAAGAGGGAGTGAAGGAGGAGTGGAAGGAAGCTTGCAGGCACGTTGTTCCACTGATGGCAGTGATGTGCATTGAATCAACCATCTGCTCTTCTGGGGAGGCTTTCCTGACAAATGCATCTTTGAAATAAGGAGCAGATGTTGCCTGCAGCGCAGTTGCCAGTCACAGTGCCCTGGGATCTGTGGTGGGGAGTACATGTGGGGGGAGTGATGGGAGGATTGAGGGCATCCCTGGGAGAATGTGGCACAAGGACAAGCAGAAATGATGATTGACTGGGAAAGGACCTTTGACATGGCACTCTCTCTGCCTTGCAAAGGACTAGGAGGGTGGACCATCATGGGAAGCAAGACAGGAGAGGTGTGGAAGGCAGAGGCTAAGCCAGCAGAGAAAGAGCTAGAATGGGAGTTTTTGTCATCCACAGCAAATTCCTTGCTCCTGAACTCATCTCATTCTCCCTATTCCTTTCTCACCACTGCTTTGTAGGTCACTCTCAGCTATGGTGTGTTTGAGAACAAACTCAATGTCATTGAGCTCAGCGGCCCCTTCTCACCCCAGGAGGATCCCTCAAGGTATGGGGCATGAGTGCTCTGAATGTTGCTGCTTGTGAGCCCTCAGCAACAGGCTGGGAGGGGAGGCAGCCCAGCGGGGTGCAGGAGGGCTAGAGGGAGGGACAGGAACCTTACAGTCACATGGCTTATTAGGTGAGGGGCACCCCAGCATTAAGCTATTTGTGAATACTTATAAACGCTGCAAACCTTTTTGGGTGAGTGGGAAGAAACGAAGCATTCAAAACATTTTATTTGGACAATGCCTAAGCCAAAAGTATTGCTGTTTATTTCCCATTTTGAGACTGAACAAGCTAACCTTTTACCTCAGGGACAGGAACAGAAATGTTCTTTTAAACTCAGGAAAGGAAATTCTGCTTGTTTTTTCATTTTATGCTTTGCTGAGAAAACTGAAGGGAAAAAAGAAAAAGGTTCACTTCAGGCTGACTGCAAACAAAACTGTTCTTTGATTTACTTTCTCCTCTTTGAGTGAACAAACCTAAAGTTGTTATTTGCAGAGCATGAGTAGGAAGATCCTGGCAGGAGATAGGAGGGGTGGGAAGCAGCAAGGTGATGAAAAGAGCATCAGCAGAACCATGTAGCAGGGGCTGGTGCAGTGCCCATCTCCCTGCCCATGATCAGGGTGAGCTGTGGGCTTGGGCTCCATGGGCCAGAGCTGGATTTGGGTATCAGAGGGAGGCTTTGCTGAGAAAAGACAACCAGTCCTGAGCTCTGTGGTGCAGGGTGGGTCCCTGATGTGGAATGGGGTGTGAGGGAGATGTCTTCCATCTTCTAGCTGTGTGCTGGTGTAAAAACTGTCCTCTGACCTTACTTTGCTTTCTCCCCAGCAGGTTTCGATCCCTCCACTGCCACCTCTATCCCAACACCTCCTGGTGCCTGCAGGCTGTTGGCTGGTGATGTCTGAGCCTCAGTTGCAGCAGATCCAGGTGATACCTGCTCACCTGTAGGGAGTGGGACACTGAAGAAGCTTGGTGCTCCCAATTTCACCTTCACTCTGGTGGTCTTGGCACTGTGTGATAGCTTTCTTGGTCCTCACTCAATATTGGTCTGATCAGAGAGAGACAAGGTGTGATCCAAAGATGGATAAGATGAGCTGATCACATGAATGAGCTTCTCATCTGAGCTGGGATATGTGCAAGGGATGGGAGCAGTATCCTTCTGAGCAGATAAAGGATCGGATAGTGACTGCTGGGCATCTGGGTGGAGATGAGGACTTGCTGCTGCTGCTCTGTGCCCTGGCTGCATCTTGCTGGACTAGAAGGGCCCTGTGTGTGCATACCTGGTGCCCAGCTCCTGGTGGATGGCAGCATGTCATGGCTTCACACTCTCTGAGCAGGGCCTCTTCCTCCGTATCGGTGCTTTCCCTACTGCCCACACTCCCCAGCCACAGACCTGCTGAGTCTCTGCTTAGTCAAAGTCTATAGAAATGGAAAATGTGACCATTTTTGGGCTGAACGAATCCTGGAAAAGCATAGTCCTTGCTCAACAGAGGGGAGATGGGCAGGAAGTACAAAGAATCAGGAATCCCCTGCTCTGCTGGGACACAAGAGAGGGCACAGACTAAGGGAGCCAGGGGAAACTGAGTGGGATGGGGATGGTTCCACGTTGAATGTTGAAGGTTTGATCTTGTGTGGTGCTGCATTATTCCTCTCCTTTTACCTTCTTGATGTGGGGTCAGGATAATCTCTTGCTCTAATTACCGACCTGTCGTCTGAGATTAGAGTCCAGCTCCTATCTGTGAGAAGAGACATAAAGGATTAGAGCTGGCTGAAAGAGAGGAGGAAGGAAGAGATGGAGAAGGAGTGCTCAGGAGCGGATTAGAGGTTACAGCTTTGTAATCCTTTCTGTCCCCAACTAAAAAAATTAAGTCATGAAGGAACGGAAACAGCAAGGCAAAGAGCTTTTTATCTCTGTGGGGCATCCCTCCAGATGCCAATAGGATCTTTCTGCCTTCCTGCTTTCCCTGCTGACCATAACAAGGGGAAGAAGTGGACCCAAATAGGTTACAGGCTTTCTGGCATGTTTGTGGAGGGTCCTTTTCTCAATACAGTGCCCAGTGTGAAAGCTGAGCAATGGTCCTTGCTGGGGAATGAACTTAGGCATCATTTTGTCCTTGTACACACAGTTAAGTGGCTGGGGGAGGGTTTTGCAGGGAAACCTGGAAGGCAGAGAGGCTGTTTTAAATGGCAGGTGGTGCCACAAACAGGTATTTTTCTTTAAAGAGTATTTCAAAACAGACTGCTGGGATCTCTGAGAGATCCTGTAATCTCCAGATGAAAGGACAAATGCCCTTTCTCTAAAGAGCTGCTCAGCTTTGATGCTGCTGATGTGACTAAGCCTGCTGCTGGTGGGCTGGAAGAGCTAAAGGCAACTGTCATTGTGGCTTTGCTGTTTTGAAAACTGGCCACTCTGTCACCTCCTTCCAGCCCCAAGCACCAGCATCTCCTACACAGTGCACACAAAGTTTAAAGGAAAGGCGTCAGAAAGACCTTCCACCTTTGTGAAGGGGGATCTAGAAAGGAACGAGCACTTTAAATTCTGGAAAAAACAGAAGGCAGGAGTCTGCAGAGCTGTTTTCCAACCTGGCCATTCCTACTGGCATTTAGTCAGCTTGTGTAGCAGCACACAGCCTTGCTTTCTTCTGTTGCACCTTTGAAGTAGAAGTTCATCCTGAGCAGGCATGGGAGCGAGCTGATGCCAGTGACCATTCCTTGAGTTGTGGAAAGCCCTTGGCTCACACGGCTACGCCAGCCAGGAATCCACGTGGCACAAAACAGGGACACAGCTATTGGAAGAGGGATGCAGCACCAAAAAGTCCTGCCCCACAGGACTAGTGCTTTGGGCGTGACCAGAAGATGAAATATGGTTTTGTGAGAAGGAATGAGTCTTCAAGAGATACCTACACTACTTGGATACATCATTTTTCCCCATTCAGATTTTCAGCTGATGTTAATAGAGACTTTGAGTTAAAAAGCTGGTCCTGGCTGTAGATGTCCTGGTGACAATCAGAGCAAAATGCGATTCATGTGAGGAAACTGGTACAGCAACTTCACTTCCCTGGGGTAAAAGCAAAGCAGAGAAACCGAAAGCTTGCTTTGGATCCTGGCTTCAGCTGGTCTGAATTGACCTGGTGCCTTTTGCATGGCTGAAGATCAGATGTTTAATGGGTTGAATCCTTGAGTGGCTGCACGGGGACCCGTTTAAGACTGGGTTTCGTTGCTGGAGCAGTTAAGTGCCACTTCTGTGGAAAATGTCTTGTCTCATAAGGAAACAGAACAGATGAGAAGATGTCTGGGGCAGGGCATCTCTTGGGCCGTAGAGAAATGAATGACAGAAAAGTCCTGCTATGCCTGTGACGACAATACGCTGGAAAGAAAATAGCTTCTGAGTCGACAAAAGAAACCAGGTTTTCTCTAAGAACAGAGAGACAGCTTAATGGGATGCTCACCGCATGAAATTTGATCAATGTTAAAACATGAGTTAAAATTAGTTTCAGGAATAGTTCCTGCCCCTGAGGCTTGCTGTCAGATATTGTGGTTTTACAGTCTCATTTTCCTAGTTTATTAAAATGTTTAGCTGCTTGGGAAAATGAGAAACAATCTCAAGTGAAACTTTTCAGGGGGCTGTCTTCTTTTATTCTCTTTCTCTTGATGTAACAAAGATTTTGGAAAGGTTCCGCTGGGTCTATTAAATTTGTATTTTTTAATTTTTTTATTTTTTTTAATATCTCTACCTGTCTCTAGCTCATACTTCATTTTCTCATTGCAGGGAAAAAAACCACCAAACCCTCTCCCAAGAACAAAAAGGAATGGAGTCATGGTCTTTATATTTTACTGGCAAGAATGGGGTCAAAGTCAAGGGTGTTGGCATGACCCTGCTGTTGTGCAACATTAAGTGTAGTTCAGGGTTTCAAGTACAGACACTCTGCCTGCCCAACACCATAGCAACCAACACTATTAATGATGTTTAAACTGTATACTGAAAATTCAGAAAAAGGAGGAGGGAAAAAAAAAAGCAGTTACAGTATTTGAAATGTAAAATATTAAGTAAGGCTTTCATGTTAACAATATCTTTTCTTCACTTTCCCCTTAGCGTGAAGAATTTTTATAAGAAAAGCCCTATTTGACAGTGCAAAAAAAATGCTAATGACTATCCTTTCTTTAGGGGAAAAGAAGTTAGTTGAAATAGGTGGGAAAATGCCGTTGTTGCTAAAGACTTGAAGGGGAGAGAGAAGAATAGCAACATTAGACAATGGTTCTGTCTCTGGTGCCAACTCCTCTTAACAGCTCTGCTGCCAAAGAAAAACAGATTCCTGAGCCACTGTGGGATTTGCCCAACTTGTACCCAGACTGCAGCCTTCAGCTCTCTCCCCAGGCTTCTTGCTGAGGAAGCAGCCTTCAAAAGGCAAGCAGTTTATCAGACAGAAGTCAAAGGATGAGAAATAGGAACAGGAAGAAAAGAGATTGGAAGGAAAGAGCAAAGCCTTGGAGGAGCATGGAAGTTTTAGCAGTGATTGCAAGTGCTGTTTGGGGGCTGCCCAGCAAGAGCAGGAAAGGGGGTGTTGCCTGGGCCTCCAGGTCTGGATTTATTTTGTGATCAGGGCAACTGCAGCTCACCAGTGCCACTGAGGATGCCAGCCTGTGAGACAGAGTCCACCTTGGAAGAGGTGAGATCAGTTTGGTTGGCCCTGAACCTCTTCTTTTTTTAATAACACTCCAGATAAGTCAGTGGCTTTTCATCAGTGTTGGAGTCACTTCCTTACAACAGATTTAGCTTCTTAATTTACTTCTGCCCTTGCTTACAATGCAGGCTTTTCAGATAGTCCAGAGTGGTATCAGCAGCTCTTTTAATTAATTTGTTAAATTTCTTTTGTCTTCAATCTCTGAAAAACCTGACTTGACAGCCAGCTCTACACACTTCTGGCATGGATGCAGAGATGAATGAGGGTGGGTGACTACTCCATTCAGTAAGTGCCTGGTCACAGGGAGGCATGGGCCATCCTTACATTTTTCCTTGAGGAACCTGCTAGCAGTTGGTGCCTGAGATGGCATCTCAGACTAACTGGAACTCTCTCCTCTGCCAAATAGTGCTCATCATGTGGCTCCACTGGAGAGGATGCAAGGGTTGCCATGGACATAAGCAAGGCCAGGAAGAAGAGCAGCATCATAAATGTTAAAGTAACTGTGCCTGTTCTCACCAGCTGGTGCAGGATTTTTTCCTGTAGACGTTCTGCCTATATACCTGGGAGGTTAAAGGAGTGCAGAACTGAGCTGTTGTTGCTCAGATGGCATTGCCTTTTAAGGCTGTTCCTTGACAGCCTAAGATTTTTTCCTCTTCCTGTTTGATCCAGCTTGGGTTCCAAGAAAGCTGGAACTTATCTCTCTCCCTGTTTGAACTGTAAGTGATTAATTACAGACCCCAAGAATGGGCTCCTTGCCTATCTCTTGTGTTTAAATTGCCTTCCAGGATTTTGCAAAGCTAAGGAGCCTCTTCGGATTTTACAGCTGACTGTGCTTCCGTTAAGCCTCTCTTGGTTTTGTTGGGAGCTGCATCTCATCCATAGTGAACTTTAAGAACAAATTAAACAGGATTTGCTGGCCCTGACTCTTCTGCCACTTGCTTGAAAACAAGACAATGTTGATTTTAGCAGTGTAGGAAGAAGAAGTGCGATGAAACAGGACATTTGGATGGGGAGAGATGCTGCTATTCTGAAACCCTGCTTTCCCCATCCCACCCCCAGAAGTGGGGCACAGAGAGAACACACAGCTGGTGCCTTTGGCCACGTTGTATCAGATGGAGGATAAGCCATGAAACATCCAGCAATTGCACTGGCAAAGGATCCAGCAGCCCTGGTTCTGAGCCAAGACAAGCCTGTACTTCGTACTGGACAGGGTGCTTACTCTAAATTACTTACAGGCAGGGACAGGGTGAGGAAGGAGGAGTGGGCTTCCAGGATTGATGAGGCAGTATTGTTATGTCTAAGCAGGGAGAAGAGGATGCTTTTTGGGCCAGAGAGGGGTAGAGTTCAGGAGCAGAGTTTCCACCCAGAAATACTATGAAGATCTGAAAGATTTTTGGTATAAGCACATGTGAAGGGAGAGGTGAGGGATGAACCAGGTGGTTTGGATAAGAGAAAGAACCATAGGGAAAAAAAATCTACACCCTCTTCATGGCTGTGCTGGCAGATAATGAATAGTGGCCTGATGACCAGTGCCTTGGGGCTTAGGGGTTAAAAAAAAAGAGGGGAAAGCCAGAAGGAAAAAGGTAAGGATTGTCTTCCCCTCTGCACACACTCGTTGCTGGCTGGTGGTCTCTCACCCAGTAGCCTAGGAGGAGATATGGGGCTGGCAAAGCTTCTGCTCTGTTCTGCATCTTCTGCCTGAGCATACCCCACGTAACTCAGCTTCCATGAACACTGGGAGGAGCAGCAGGCTGGGGCAATGAGCAGGATGGAGGTGCTGACAAGAGTCTGCCCCTTCCACACTGCCCCATCTTTCCCACATCACCATCAGTTTTGGCTGGAGTGAGGCTGACGGTAGAAGCTGGCCAAGCTCTGCTTGCCACTTTTTTTTTTTTTTCTGCAGGGGAGAAACTCCTCTCTGAGCTCTCTGACAGGCTTGTTTCCTATGGTGTGGGGTGCAGACAGAGTCTTGGTGCAGCTGGTAGGGAGAGCAGCCCCCCCTTCTTTCTCCCTGGCATTCAGCTGTATTGGACGGTGTCTGTTTTTAGCAAAAGTCGCAGATTCAACAGCTGAGCTGATTTTCCAAAGGGACATATAAAACAAACAGCCTGCCATCTGCTCTATTGTCCTGGAATAGCGGCTTGGAGAGTGGGGGAGAGGGAAGGAGGGGAATAGAGGAATGAGAAGGGGACTGGGGGGAAGAGGGTGGGAAGGAGTGGGAGCAGAAGAGAGGAAAAGGCAGAAAGGGGAGGCAGAGAGGGGAGGCTGAAGGAGGAGAGAGAAAGAAGAGCACAAACAAAAAGGAAAACTGTGTGGAAGTGGGGATTTGTTAAGGGAGAGGACCAGAGGCAGGCATGGGGGCAAACAGGGCTTGCTTGGGATCACCCTGGCTGGATTCCTCAGCCCTGTGAGCCACAGAGGCAGGCAATATGAGCACCCTAGTCCTTGCTGAGCCAGAGTCTGACTGCAGAAGAAATAAACTGGACATGGTGGCCTGGATAATCACTCCTCTTCCACCCACTCAGCCCTGCCTGCTGCACACCCCCACCTCTGCTCTGACTTTTATTGAGTGCCGCAGGGCAGGGATTGAACTCCAGGTTTGGCAGCAGAGTAAATAACAGCAACATTGGTCTCTCTGGCCCAGGAGGGAGGAGGGCTGGTTTTAATCAAAGGTAAATAACAGTCAGTATTGTCTGAACCTTAATCCAATTTCCTAGAACTGGAGAATAATATTCCAACTTAGACGTGTGGCACTGGCCACCAGAGAGGAATGGCTACTCAGCCAGCAAGCTACTGGGCACAGGACAGCTGGGGAGAGCAGAGCTGGGGGAGATGCCACAAGGCAGGTAATTTATCCTAGCTAACCTGGGACTGCTGTTCTGATTCTTCCTGGTTTATTTTCCTGGCTTCAGTCATCCTAAAAGATGGAGCTAGCTTGCTGACAGGGAGCACATCTTCGTGTAATGTGGAGCCAGTTGATTAAAAGCTTGCTGATTTGCTTGGTTCACAGGAGAGTTGGGACCAAGCTGATGCCCTGCATCTGCATCCCTGGAGGTCATTTTGCCTCTTACAGTGACCTGGAGAAAAGTGCTTGTGGAGTTGTGATAACTGATACATGGACACGACATGAATCATGTTTATGCCATGTCAGGTTCCTGCTACATGTGACATATAAGCAAGAATTCAGTGTTGGGAAAATGTGTTTGTGTTGTTGTTAGTCTGGTAGCGCAACAATCTGTGTGACTGGAAACTGCACTCTGACTTGGTCTCATGTTAGAGTCGCAGAGAGTTAGAGAGGTGCTGTTATCAGCTATCAGGAGGTTATCTACCCCTGCAGCAGGGCCAGCCACCTTATGCCCCTTCCATCAGATGTTTGTCCAACTGGCTCTTAAAACACATTGTTCTGTCCAGACTATCAGTGCTGGAACCGACAGCCCAGTTTCTGATAGTGAAGCACTGATACCTGGCTGATCTGGAAAAGACAGGTTTGCTCTGCAGCGCTGTGCCAGCACCGTCTGTAGATGCCCATTGAGCAGCTCAGTCAGGGTCCTGAGCACTGCTTTCTCCTCTGTGGGGCAGCTGATTTGCAATTCTCTGGAACAAAAATGGCCTGGGGAGGCCAGGACATGTTTGGGAAGAGGCAGAGACACATCCTAGAGCTGAGGGAAGAGGAGGCCAAGCTCCATTCCAGCCCTTTCATCTTTGGAAATGGCTTGGCAGGCCACAGTCACAGCTCGAACTGCTGTGCTGACAGAGCAGCTGTGGGTGGGCCACAGTTTTAGGACCTCTTTTCAGACTCAGCCTTTTGTAAGCATCAAGGCCATGGAGTGAAACCTCCCCACCAAAAGCTCCCTGGTGGCAAACATGGCCCAACACACCCCGCGCTTTTGTGACTGCCAATTCCTGGTCATGTAATCTGGATGGATCAGGGACAGGTGGGATAGCTGTGAGTTCATCCTCCCATCTCTATCTCTGACAGCCTGGCATCCAGCAGCAAAAGAGGCAGAGGGCACCCAGACACATCCAGGGCAGCACAGGCTAGTTCAAGGAGGAGTGAGGGCTGTCCTTCACCGAGAGGATGTCCAGTCCATACAATGACCTTTCCAGACAGGTCAGAAGTGCAGCTCCAGAGGTCCCTTATGCTCACTCACTTCCCCGGCCATGAGCATGCACTTTATTGCTGGTCATCCAGTCCTGCCCTGGAAAGCACAGCCCCACTGCTGAAAACACTGGCAGGAGAGAGGAATGGGGAAAATGTAATTTTTTTGTAGCTGACTGTGTGTTTCTTCCCCCGCTGCTCAGCTCGCTCCGGGAAGCGCACTGCTTTTGTCTGCCTGCAGTCCAGAGTGGCCCCAGCCCTGTGGGACGGGAAGGGGCAGAGCAGGAGAGCGGGCCGGGTCTGGAGGCAGCAGGCTCTGGTCAGCACCCTGGACAGGGACGGACCCGCCGCCCCAGCTCGCCCTTGCCTTCCTCTGCCTTGTCTCGTCTTTCTTTTCTTTGCCTTCCCTTCGTCTTGGTCCCGGCCGATGGGCAGCCCGGGGTGGGCAGCCTCCTGGTGTGGCACGACCCCGCTTTGCATTGCAACCTGCACCAGCACATTTTTTCTCTTGTTTAAGAGCAAATGTGCTGTGGCTCTGTGCGCAGCTGCTCTGAAGCTGTGGCTTAGATCTGGGTTATTTTTGCAGATAAATCCTCTTTTCTATCAGATTTGACATCAGGCAATCTCTCCAGATCCCTCCCTTTCCCCCGGTCTGACTCCCCCCTTCTCTTCCATGCTCTGTGTTCTCTTTCCTTGCATCTGTGCTCTCCCCTCTATATGGCTCTCTCCCCTTTTCTTTCCCTATAGCCAGGTCTGTGTGAATATCATATTATCTTCTCACTTTCTGCTGCTCTGCATCTCCACATTGCTCTTTGTGCTTTCCCTGCACTCAAATGTGTACATTTTTCTACTTTCCTTTTTATATCTCTTTTTCTCTCTCTTGGGCTGTTTCTCTGTGGTTATTTCCACAGTGCTGTGAGTTTCTCTGAGAGACCTCTGTGCCTTGGAGTGCAAAATACCTGGAGTGTTCTTATTTTTTTGGAACCCTGGTATGGCTGATGGAAATTGGCATCCTCAGCAGGGGAGCTAACTATTTCACACACTGCCCCATGCCTTCCCCCTGATCTAAGGAGGAGCTTCCAGGGTGGTGAAGGCAGGAAGCATTGACAGAAAAGGAATTAAAACAGTCTGGCAGACAGTGGGACTCACAACTCACTGACTAATGGATGGGCGGATTGGGTAGAGCTCTGATAAAAAGAATTTCCTATATCTCAGAGGAATTCTGCTCTTTGTTTCTCATGTGGTCTGTGCCAAAACAAAACAACCAGGCTGGGAATGGGGCAGAAGGCCATAGAAACATTGAGGAAAAGAAGCTCGCAGAGCTTTGTAGTCAGGGCTTGTTCCAGGACTTCAGTATGGATTTCTATCTCTCAGCTCTTCTCCTGAAAGTCTAGTTTTGATGGCAAAAGGAATAATCACAGACTTCTTCCCCCTGGGAGCTTTGCAAATCCTGAGATGTCCCTGAAGCTGTTCCCCAGCACTGCTGCAGGACAAGAGAGTATTGATTTACTTGGTATGAGATGGTACCTAGTGGGTGAGAAAACAGGCTGAAGGCTCCTG